GCTTTAGGATAATTTTTTCAATTGTATCTTTCACCTCTGTCCAAAATGCATTAATTTGTCTGCATTCCCACATACAGTGTATTAGAGTCCCTTTAGAATTACACTTTACACAAGAATCTGGGATGTTGTTGTATTTATTTAAATGCACGGGCGTAACATAAACACGCATTAGCCATTTAAATTGTAGAATTCTGAGATGACTGTTTATGGACATTGTGTGAGTTTTTATGCAAACCCTTTCCCAATCCTGTTCACTGATATTTGATGATAAGTCCAAGTTCCAGTTTATAAGCTTATTATTTGAGTTCTCTAATGAATTAGAGATCAGCACATTGTAAAAATCTGAAATTATGCCCTTTTTTGATTTATTCTGAATCATTAATTTTTCAAGCAGTGTAAGAGGAGGCTTCTTAAGATCACTGCAATTTGCTTTAACAAAGCTTCTCAGCTGAAGGAATTTAAAATAATGCTTTTTATCTAGCTTGAATTTGGTTTGTAGAYCTCCAAATGACAAAAATATATCAGAATTTGGTGAGTAAAGGTCTCCAATACTTTTTAAGCCTTGCGATGCCCAGATCWTAAATGTTCCATCTGCCCTACCTGGAGCAAACAGCTGATTACCCCAAATTGGACTAAATTGGGACATGCCGTTTGGCTCCGCAAGGTATTTTCTAACATCTTGCCAAATTTTAATCATGCTTTTCAGAATGGGATTTGTAGCATGTTTCTGTAACTTCTTTAAAGTGTCAGAGTACAAGAATAGTGGAAGAGCCAAACTTAAGTTATAGGACTCCATTTCTACCCAGTGGGGATTGTCTTTATCTGAGAAATAGAACATGATAGTTCTTAGTTGTGTGGCCCAATAGTAAAGTTTGAAGTTGGGGCATTTTAACCCCCCTCTATCAAATGGTAAATAAAGCAAAGAGGCGTAGCCTAGACCTTCCATTGTTCCAGATAAAGCCTAAAATAGTTCTTTTCAGCCAAGTGAATAATTCAGGAGGCGGCGGCAGGGGAATACTTTGAAAGAGGTACAGTAGCTTTGGTAGTATACTCATTTTCAGGACATTAACTCTTCCCAAAACTGATATAGGCAGGGATGTCCAGTTGCTAACTGAGGCAGCTATTATTTTCATTAGGTGCTCGTAATTGGATTCGACCACCTGCTGTAATGCTGGGAAAATCTGAACACCCAAATATTCAAAATGCTCCACTACTTTAAATTGCTTAACTTCTCTGGTGGGATTAGTCCTTTCATCTACATTTAATAGCAGAATGGAGGATTTTG